TCTGTTGATTCATGTATCAGGGTGACCGTGGAAGGCATATCACCATTTGTGCCCAGTCCTGATAGGAGTAGGTGCCTAGTTTGTGATTGTTATCGAAGGAGCTCCATGCTGAAGAACATAGCTTGTAACTGTATCACATGTGGAGCTTGTAACTATGATTGCCATACTTGTAGAGCTTCTAGAGATTGTTTGGAGTATCACGTGTAGAGCTTGTATATGTTAGAGCTTATTACGTGTAGAGCTTGTAAAGTATATGTTATTTGTACAATAGGAGCTCTGTACTGAATCTGGCTGATAATATTTGGAGTATTATGTGTGTTTTTTGTTTGTGCCAATTTAAATACTGGTTATTTATTTACTGTTAAATTGAAATATGAAGAATATGAACTTGCTAGCTGGGACCCACGTACCTGAACCTAACATCTGGGACCCACGTACCTGAACCTGACATCTGGGACCCATTTGAAAAAATTAAAACTTTCTAGCAGAAAAGGCCACGGCCCCAAAATGAGAAGGCTTAATTGTTGGGATTGGCCCATCTACCTAGCCAAAATTAATATGAGAAAAAACACAAATAGGACGAATTGTTGGGCTCGGCCCATGTGGAAAATCGAATTGGACCGGGCTGATTCTTGTGCCACATCAGATTGTCATGTTGGATGCCTACGTGGCTTGGGGAGGCTGCTAGTGACCAAAACGCCACAGTAGACATATTTTGGTCATAAACGTCTACGACCTTCTCACAGAGAAGGTCGTTAATTTCAGTTTACGACCGCCAGCTTTTGACCTTCTATTTTAGGTCAAAAAAAGGTGACAAATGAAAACCAATGACCTTTCAGTGACCAATAATCAAGGTCACAAGTTGACATATTTCTTGTAGTGGAATAATCTTATTATCCCTTTGAGCCTGGGTGGCGAACCATAGGATGATCACACGGGTACTCTGGGATATCCTAGGACAACACTGGATTCTCCAGGTGCCTGCAACCAATCCACCTGGATGTGTATTTAAGTAGCCACCTTAAGTTAACCATTAATTAACAATCTCACATCTATGAGCATAGCATGGCAATATAAGCATAGCATAGAAGTAACTCCCAAGGGTTTGATAATAAAAGGGCAATAGGTTCTACCTCATCAACTACTTCCCAAGACTCACAAGTTAATCACATCCTAATCATGCAGTGTTTGACGGCATGCAACAAATGCATAAAAACTGGGTATGAAAAGAGTATGATCAATGTGTTACTTGCCTTGCTAACGACCTGCAAAACCTAGTGACTCGTAGTAGCACGCTTCGCACTCCGGGAATTCTATCATAAACAAACAATAACATACATAAGTAATCAAGCAAAGATGCACGGGTAAAGCTCAAATAAGAAGATCTAACCAGAAAGTTCAACTGAAGAACTCCGGTTTGCAAAAAGAATCAAATCAAACGGAGCAACGAAACTCAAACTATGAAAGAAACAAGATCCATTTACTAATCTGGACTAAAATCTTGTTCAAGTTTGTTAAACAGAAAGAGGGCTTCGAGACAAAGATCTAGGCGCTTGTTTCACATGATTTAGATAAACCAGCGAAAAGATAAACTAAAACAAAGATCAGGGCAGAAATCGCAATCAAAAATAATTGCGTAAAAACCCTAGAAAATAAAACAAAACAAACAGGCTAACGAATGAACGTTCATTGTCTGCGGCTAACTGACGAACAAGATTCATTAAAACGAACGTACGGACGAACATCCACGAAACAACTAAACCGAGTAAAACCGAACCTATTCTAAAACAACGAATCTAGGGTTTTATAAAAAAAATTAACGGTTCTACCGTTTAGCTGAAAAAGACCGGCGGCGGTGGATCTGGCGAGCGGCAGCTCTAGCAGGGCGGGGCGGTGCTGAAGCGGCGCGGCGGCGATGGAGTGGCGCGGGGCGGTGTGCGACGGCGCGGTGGCGGCGCGGCTGCTTCGGCTGCGCGGCGGCGCGGTGATGTGGGGCAAGGGGGCGGCGGCGGTGGTATTTAAGAGGGAAGGGGGAGGTGGTGGCGTGGGGGAGGGGGCAAGGCCGTGGGGCGAGGCGGAGTCGGCCATGACGCGGTGGCGTATGCGCGGCAGACTCCCGCTCGGGGTCGAGGTGACGCAGCGCGTGGGCTGGCTGGGCTTTCGGCCCAGTCGGTCCGAAGCAACTTTAAAAAAAACTGATTTCGCTGAAATAAAATCCTAGAAAATAAAATAAAATACTAAAAATACCAAAACAAATTTTCACCGTCTAAATAGAATATTTAGAACAAAGTGAACATTTTCTTGGCCTAAAATGCAATTTTTGGAAAATGCATATGTTTCTAATTCAAATAAAATATCAATAAAATCCAAATAAAATTGTTTATTTGATTTTAATATTTTTCCTCCAATATTCCTTTTATTTGGAGAAGTCATATTATCACCTCTCATATATTTTAATATGAAATATTTTCGGAGAGAAAAACAATTAAAACCAAAGTGATCCTTGTTTTGATATTTGATAAATTTTCAAATATGAGAAACGTGAAATACCCAACTCTCTCCGTGGGTCCTTGAGTTGCTTAGAATTTCAAGGATCGCGAAATGAACGGTAATAAAATATGATATGCATGAATGACCTATGTATAACATTCCAAATTGAAAATTTGGGATGTTACAGATCTCTTTTGTCCAGACAAAAAATATCAAAAAGTTTTGTAGCGTTTTGACTCCATTGGTACTGATTTTCCAAAAAACCAAAAATAGGCAAAAAACAGCAACTGGCACTAGGTACTAAGTTAATACGCTAGTCTGAGAAAATGATATAAAGTAGCATATAAAACATCCAAGATTGATACCATAATAGCATGGAACAATAAAAATTTATAGATACGTTGGAAACGTATCATACTACGATTGATCCCATATAATTGTGGGACATCACTATTCTAGTCGAAAGGTCTTTACGACTGGTGTGAAGGTAGAATATGGCGGTCGATAGTGATAGTGCTTATCTTCGTCCTTCATAGGTCATTGCAATAGGGGATAATTGTAGACCTCTTTAGCCAGGTCCACAACGAAACCCTTAACTATACCATTCAATCTGGATTGGGGATGAATGGTATTGGTGTGTGGGATATAGGGTTGTTGCATGCAGGCTCGTATTTGTACTAGGTACCGCCCACTTGTAGAAACATATAAAGTGTCTTAGGAATCCAAACTTTGAATTATGCTTAAGCATCGGTCATGTTAGACGCATACTAGTAGGGAATTTAGATTCCTTGGGAACACTTTAGTCCTCTTGATTCCAACAACCATTATTCTACATCTCATTCTCTTTTCAGTTTACTCTTGAATTTTGTTACTGTGTTCGCAACAACCTTACAATATTTCAAAAGGTTATGTCATTGCTTTCCCGTTTCAATGCATAGTTAAAATATGGTAAATGCTAACTACAAAAGCTTTAGAATTTGTCTAAAGAGGCACTTTTACTATTTTATCTATTTTCCAAATTACTCGTGATTGATGACACACATGTTATGAGTAGTGAATATAATGTGAATGCAGAGAATATGTGTGTTGCCATGACAATAGATTGCTAGTAATATTTCCATATATTCGTTTTTTACAACCTAAGGTAATTACATATATCAATACATATCTTATTGTAGTCATGAATGTAACCTTTTCTCTGTGTATATGTGACATTTTATCATCCACAAAAGGAGAAGGAATGTGAACTAGAGATTGTTATGTGTAATGTATATTTCTGTATTTGGTTGACTGGATATTAAAAATTTCTTGCCAGAATTTAAATCTAACTTGTATCCTAAAAGAAATCTTATCATTGTTGATCTACAAAATGATATATACAATGGCTAACCTTGTGAAAGGAAGGTGGCACATAAAACGCCCCCTTTTGGCCTGCAAGATAAGCACATAACCATGCATAGCTGGAGGCGTGGGTAGATACATGTATCTTGTGCCAGCGTTTTGAGCAAAAGCAAATAGGTTGGTCGATCCTGGCATGCATACTTACCTACACCAATACACGACACTCTGGAAAGTAAGTAAAGCCAAGAAACTGATCTATATCTCTAGACAGATACCAGCGACGTGCGTCTTTGTACATACATGTGTGCTTGCCCATAGAGTGCAAATTATACCAATCCCGCACATGCATGCGGGAATTCAGTAGTGTTTAGCACTAGTGCCCTTACCCGGTGGTAACTAATCCAAAGGTGTTGTTTTTATGGGGGGTAGATGAGATAGAGATGTGATTGTTACTGACACTCATAGGTACCACGTTGTACCCATCATATTATACATCCATCAAAGCCATCTCCTTGTCACATATTTTTATAGAACGCACATGGTTTACATGTAAACCAACATATTTCACCTCAAATCTAGTATATTGATATGAATGCATAGGCTGGAATGCATACATAGGATACTAGTAAACGACACATGTTTGCTTTGCATCGCAAAGCCATGCACTAGCAATAGATTAAGGAATATCATGATATGCATATGTTAACAAGAATGACAAGAAACCAAAAGTGTTCAATCTGGCATGACGTTTCATGGATAGGTTCGAGAAACCTAGCACCTGTCACCACTAGGGAATGGTGCCCATAGCAAGACAAGCAGCACACAGTTGTAAAGGTTAGGAACCTATCTCTATCTATCTATCTAAATCATATACATCCATCCATTGCCAGTAAGAACAAATTAAAAAAAGCCCCAAAACGCCAACGCTTCTCTGGCAAGTTTCTTATCAGTACACGCATTCGGTCCTATTTAAGCACCTCCCTCAGATATCTCTAGATATCATTGAGTTCCTTCCATACATACACACATCTCTATCATTTCCCCCCAATATTTGTTCCACCGCACCACCCTTTTAAGAAAGAGCCTCCCCCATGGCAGTCCACCTTCAAGTTCAACAATAACAACAACACCTGAATCTGCCAGCGGGGTTCAGGTTTCACCCAACGGACATGGAAATCATCACCTTCTACCTAGTCCGCAAGGTTCTGAAGAAACCCTTCGATGTTACAGTAATCGAGGAGGTGGATCTAAACAAATGCGAGCCGTGGGATCTCCGAAATAATGTAAATATGGGGGAGAAGGACCAATACTTCTTCTCCAAGAAGGACCTCAAGTACCCCACCGGGGTACGCACCAACCGGGCCACGAACGCTGGATATTGGAAGGCCACTGGAAAGGACAAGGAGATTGTCCACCCGCCGACCATGAGTCTCATCGGCATGAAGAAGACTCTGGTCTTCTATAAGGGCAGAGCCCCTAGGGGGGAGAAGACAAACTGGATCATGCATGAGTACAGACTCGAGATGGGAAAGCAACACACACCAGACCTACCCACCGACATCGTGAGAGCCGCCTCCATTAATGCGTCTTCCAAGGTATTTCCAAACCTTGACTAGTAGTACTCATGAGTTATGAATATGCATGTACATAAATATCCAGCTACTCACCATTTTTTATTAGCACTGATTTAGTTTACCTATGTTGGTAGGAGGAGTATGTCATTTGTAGAATCTTCCATAAGAGCACTGGACTGAGGAAGGTGGTGATGCCTTCATATTCCATGCCCATTCCCATGTCCATGGGGGTAGAGCAACAACAGGGCTTCCTCGAATCTAATACACTGGCTCCTCTCATGGACTATGATGTGCCATCGTCATTAGCCCCACTATCGTCGTTGCCTGCAGCTTCGTTGTACCAAATGCATAACTTCGGGGCCGAGTCGTCTATAATGGGTAGTGCGGTGCTTCCAATGATGAACAACCAATACTTTGAGAATCATCACCACCAGATGATGGTCGCCCTGCCACAGTCATCAATGTCAGTCTACAACAACCAGCAGCAGCAGATGATGCATATGAGTGCAGAGCAGGGCTTCATGGTCGGGGTTGATCCTGGGAGCGGTACATCATCTATAGTGTCAGATGAGGATGTTCTAACTGGGACGAGCAACAACATTCAAGGAAATGGTGTTGCAACAATCTCTAGTGAGATCTCGTCGGTCAACATGGGTATGGACGGCATGTGGAACTACTAATGATCAAATGATCCGCGAGAATATATAAATGTGTTCATGCCTAAAATAATCATCCACCAAAAGATTAGTTGATATATGCCAACATCTATATTGGTTTGTACTACATTTTATTTTCATCATGGTCACAAGAGAGTTTGTACCGGCTTGTATGTGCACCATCAACTGGTGTATACCTAGCTACATTTCCATCCGTTGTTAAATACTTGACAATGTGTCATGCATGTTTTAAACCTATGTGGAATAAACTATTTTGTTTAATTATGAATATTTGATGTACTATTGTGAATTTGGTCACATATGTGTATTTTATTGGAATAGAATTTGGGCATGCACCAATCTAATGGGATTTCCATCAATTCTATGAACTCTTATGTCCACTTTCAAAAAAATAGATGCATCAGTTAATTTTTTTAAGAAACTGAATGTGTATGTCAATTTATATCCTAGTGGATTTGATGATAAATGGAAAAGCCATACTGTAAGTGCTAAAGGCAATATAATGAGACAAAAATTATCTTGTTGTGATCCAAGTTATAAGAAATCAGTAGGGTACGGTATTTGATCTTACCACACAATACTTCTACATCTCTAGAAATCCGAAGCGGCAACATGGTATCTGTCGTGGAATTGTCAAGGCAGATGTCCTAGAGAAAGGACTTAGTCGTGGAGCCATTGCGACAGGTTAGCTTGAAAGGGTTAAAGTGGACACAGGGACGCAAGAGAGTTTATACTAGTTCGGCCCCTTCGATGAAGGTAAAAGCCTACGTCTAGTTGTGATGGAATTGATGGGGTTTCGATGACTAGGGAGCAAACAAGCTTCGCCTATGTCTCGAGTGGTTGTCTGTCTCTGAACCGCCGCCGGGTCGTCCCCTTATATACACGGGTGACACCCGTAGGTTCACAGAGTCCCAACACCGGTCGATATTCGTATCTGGGTTGGTCTCTCCTTATTCCTAACTTACAATACAAGTTTATACACAAATCCCGGTTTACAGCTACAAGTCTTGAACCGACTACGGGCCTTAGGCCCTCATCTGCCTTCTTGGGCTTTAGCACTCTTGAACTACTGATGAAGTTGACCCGACCCAGATAGGCCGGTTTACGCCCAGCAGTAATATCCCCAACATTAGGCCCCAAATTGATTTGAACGGGTTCATGTCAATCCTTTATAAAAAGCTTCATCTTCAACATCTTCTCATAAATTGGTAAACCGCCATGATGTCATCTTCTCTGATTGCTGTAAACCGGAGTGACGTCACCTGTCATACCGAAGCTATCCATTATGCTTCTTTGTTTAATAGATCTGCGGAAATCGAGGCGACAGCTCCGTTCGTGGCCCCTTGATTGTCGCGCCTGTCACATGTCCTTTTGCCTTATAAATAGGACCGAAGGGTCATTTCTTTTCTCCCCTTGGTGCCTTTCGTCTTCATCTTCCTCGCGTCGCCAGCCTCGGAGCTCCGCCGCCGCTGTCGACCTCTGCCTCAACCTTGGCTGCTGCATCATCCTGGGCGCACCAGAGTATCGCGGCAACCTTCCGCGTCTTCCTCAGCTCCGGTAAATCTTCTATCCTTTCCCCTGCAGATTTGACCTAGGGTTGCACAGTTCTTCAGTGGTCATCGTCTGCCTCTTGCTCATACGATAGATCTTTAGATGAATCCGCAAATCTTTATTCTGTGCAATGGTAGTTGTTTACCCTTCGCCTTCACTTACGCATCTCAAAACCATAGATCTGTATGTACGTCTTGCTCATTGATTCGGTACTGCTCCTTTTGGACCTCTGAATATTTATCTCTTATCTGAACTTGCTTCAGATCCATCGCTGTAGAGAAATCTTATGAAATCTGTTTCTATAAACTTACTCATCTGCTTCAATGTTTAAACCAGGCGATTTAACCTTGTAGAAAAAATTGCCAAACCGGTATATGCCATTAGTCCCCTTGTTGAACCGCCAGATGTTGTTGCTTCATAAAACTCCGGTTCAGATAGATCTGTCTCCGGTTTAACATTGCACATACCAATGTACCTTGATCAATGCATTTTTGAACCGGGATCTTCTACCTTGTAGATTTCATCATGGCCAAGCAAGTATATGAGTGCAATTGGGTTCCTTCTCGCGTCACAGAAGCTCAGCTGGACGATTTACTCCTGATCGGTGCTTAGGCAGCAAAGATACCATCCATTGGAGGGCTCCTGGCAAAGAATGCCCTCCCACTCCTCAAGAAGGAGAGGTTGTTGTTTTCGTAGATCACTTAGCCTGGGGCTTTAAGCCGCCCGGTTCTAAATTTTACCGGGATGTTTTAGCCGATTTCCAACTCCATCCACAAGACACTGGCCCCAATTCTGTTACAAATATGTGTCACTTCCAAGTGCTCTGTGAGGCGTTCTTTCAAGAGGAGCCCACAGTGGAATTGTTCAGAGACCTTTTCCATCTAAACCGTCGTACTGAGTTTACTGCCGGCTCCAATAGGGAGTTGGGTGGCGTGGCGATCCAGAAAAGGAAAGAAGTCACATACCCTCACGCCAAACTGCACAGCCACCCCAAAGAGTGGAATCAGACATGGTTCTATTGCAAAGACACCTCCCCTGCGGGTGAGAATCCCTTGCCTGGCTTTCATCCGGAGCGGCTCAGCAATACACACCCTTTTCCGCAAAGATTGACTGCCCAGGAGAGAAGCAAATATGCTCCTCAACTGTCGAAGCTCAGAGCCTTTATGGTCAACGGTTTAACAGCGGTTGATCTCGCTCGCTATTGGATACCATGGAGCATACTGCCCCTTAGTCAGCGCTCCGTTTGATGTGCGAGTATACCGGCAGTGTTGATGACCCACTGCGACATTCCAAAATCCAGCTTACCGATGAAGAAATCACAGAGGCTGTGAATAAGATGCTGAATGAACCGGAACATATTTGTGCTAAAAACGGCCTGCTTCCCTTCTGTGCCACCAACAAACTGCCAGCTGTAAGACTTTGAGTTTTCCTTTTGCTGAATCTGTTATTGATATACCTGGTCATTGTTTAATATCAGTGTCTGTGTAATCAGGGCAATGATCTGTTTTGGAGCAAGAAATTGCCGCAGGAGAAACCAGAAAAGCCAGACAAACCGGAAAGAGCAACCCGGCAAAAGACTAAAGGTGTAAAGAAGACTGCCCACAGGAAAAGAATTACTGCCTCCTCTAATCCGGCCCCTGATGATGATGTGGATAATCCAGACCTTGAGGTAGAGCTTGACTCACTTGGCTTATTTTTCATGCGTCTTATTGATGATGATATTTGTCAGGATGATGCCGAAGCCAGCCACGCTGATGCTGCAGAGGTAATTATTCTCTCTTCCGATTCAGAACCTTTGTCTTCACTAAAAATCCGTCAGGCAAACCGGAAAGTTAAATTTTCTCATCCTCTTGCTTATTTGGATCCCAAATTTCTTATGAAGACCCAACAGCACGAAGCTCGTCGCACAACCCGGCACAGCGGCCAGGTAGTTACCTCCGCCGGTTTACCGAACAGTCCGGTTTGGAAACGCCGTTCAGAGGTCTCTAATTTGCTTGTCAGTGCTTGTCCTAAAGCGGGCTGCTTTCGTCAACCTCTTAATCCATATGACTCCGATTACCAGGTTACTTCCCACTCATCTTCTGGCGAGTCATCGGCTACTCAGCTGCCACCGCTCAAAACGGTGCTTGGGTAAGCTATACTTATTATAATATTTGCAGCACATCGCCTTAGAACATATGCTGTATTTGATTTTGTTATTCTTTTCAGGGCCAAACCTAGGCCAAGCAAGAAGGCTCGCCTGGACAAAGCGGCCGAAGAAGATGTCATCCTTGAGCCGGGCAAGACAACAGATTGAAGCGGCTATTCCTGAGGATATACCCAATGACCCACCGAAGCAAGACGATGATCTTATTGCTGAAGAGAGACCTACTGATGCCTCAGGTCCTGTCAATCAGCCCACAAGCTCCATCCGGATTGAGAGATCCACTGGTCCAGCAAAGCCTACTGACAAGCCAACAGCCCCAGTGCAAACCGGCGATACCCAGGAGGATGAGGTTGTCATTACTGGCACTGGCCATACCGAGCCAAGCAATCCTGTTGCTTTGTCCAAACATTCTGCCAAGGAAGAATTTGCTACCTTTGGTAAAGCCAAGTGGAATGCTGATCTGGCGACTTACGCTGCTCTGAACGCCCAAGATATCCATTTCGGCTACCTGAACCGGCTGTATACCAGTCGTGACTATGAAGCCGGTCTGGTTAATATGATGAAGGATAAATACGAGGTAACTTCCATATGCTATTTCCTTCTTGGACGCTTCAATACTTGCTGACTCTCCTAGCCCCCAAGGGCCGGTTTGTAATCTTCTTTCAAACTGGGACTTACTATTATAAATCTTAATGCTTTGAAATTCGCCGATGTAGCCCCCAAGGGCCGGTTCAACTTAGCATAGTTAAACCGGTACTTTAAGTAATTGAGATTGCCGCATCAGAATATATATGAGCAAATAGCCATTAGCCCCCAAGTGCCAAGTTGAATACTTTGTAAGCAATTGAAAGATGAAGATCGAATATGCATTAGCCCCCAAGTGCTAAGTGCATAACTTGTTATGTGGTTGGTACTTCAATCCTTGTACAATTTTGTTGAAGCATATAACTGTCTGCATGCAGGTGGAGCTGAAGACGAAAGAAAGCCAAGTCACCGATATCCAAGAAAACCTGAAAACCCAACAAGCTGAAACCTCTAAAGCAAAAGAGGAATTAGCCAATGCTTTAAGCACCATGGAACAGCTTAAGGAGAGCTTCAAGAAGAAGCGGGCGGATTGGGCCACTGAAAACTCCGCTTTAATCAAACGAGCCGAGGATGCCGAGGCTGCACTAAAACCAGTGGCGGATGAACTGACCAGCATAAAGCGGCACGTGCATGCCATGACCACTGCTATCTTTGGTAAGCCAGTTTGACTTCTGAATTGACTCTGCCTTCTTACAGAGCTGCCGGTTTATTAACCCTTTAT